CTAAATCGGAAATCAAATGGCAGATGACAGAGGGGAAGGACAGCTAATGCAACCATTGAAGAATCACAATGCACATTTTATCCATTCATTCACACATATTTACACAGCACCTGCCACGCATAAGGCACTGTCTTGAATTTTGGGGATACATCAGTGAATTAAGGCTGGCAGGTTCCTTCCCTTGTGGAGCTCACGTTCTAGAGAAAGTGGCATACCTTAAGCACGTAAACAAGCAGTATTAGGTAGTGGTAAGTTCTCCAGGAAAACCAAATCAACACAGAGACCGAGGGACACAGGGAAAGCCAAGCTGCTTTGGATGCGTAAAGTCCTTGAATCCACCGTTCTGTATGACGACAGTGTCACCAAAAGAATGACTTATGGCTTTTCCTGTTCTCCTTTATTTAATTAAAAAACCCTAATTTTATTAAATTTTGAGAGTAAAGATATTTTGTACATAGGTAAGCCTTGATTTTTATGATGATTTAGTTATTATATTTATTTTCTCTCTTTTGTAAGATCCCAGTCCTTTATTGGTGTTCAGGTTTTTTGACAATTTCCCAAATTGAGCATGGGCACTGGCACTAATGATCATAAATAAATCCCAGGCTGTGACAAATTCAGTTATTCAAACCGATCTATGGATAGAGCATTCAATGTCGAAATGGCCTACATCTTATGTATGAAATTAGTTGACTTAATTTACCAATTATGTACTCAGCCCCAGGCTTATCCTGAGGTCCAGTCCAGAAGGTGAAGGCAGATCTTGTCGCAACCCAGATGGGTCTCTCCGCTGAGCGCGCACGCTCACGGAATTTCTGATTCATTCGCTCCCTGGGGGCATACAAGGCTGCATTCTGCAGGGTTCTGCCTTGAAGGACGTTATCAGTGTCTGGTTTAAAAGAGCAAAATGTGAGGTTCACTTTGAGGAAAGATAAGACATCTAAAGGAATAACCGATGCAAGGCAGCAAATAAAAAGTGTCTTAGAAGAAGTGCGAATAAAACATGAAGACAGTTCCAAGAAGTTGGGATTAATTTCTTCATTGCGAAGGGGGTGGGGCTGGAAAACATTTAACAGAACCTTGATTGATGGGGAGAGTTTGGATCTGCAGGGATGAGAATGTGGGGTAGGGGGGAGATTCCAGTGGTGACACAACATGAGCCAAAGTGGGAGGTGGGGATAGAAGATGTTTCCACTTTTCCTACACTTAGAGCGATGCCCACAAACAGACACTCGCGGTTTTTCTCTCTGTTCCCATTCCTGGGAAAGAAGCCACGGGCCATCCCTAGTGAATAATTGAGATTTGGCCGTAGATATTGGCTGAGATTGTTACTTTACCTCCTACTTGTTTAGACGGCTTGTTGTAACCATTTATTTGGTTTGCACCAGTGAGGACTGTGGGCAGTCGCTTTTGGGCACTGACATCCTCTGTGTTCCTTCCAGTTTCATCTCTGCGCCAACTTTTTTCAAGAAAATCCGGTTCCTCCTTCTCCTTTCAGTGCAATGATCACTGTTAAATCTGCAAAGCAAGTCATCAAGCCGAACAGCAAGCATTTCCGGACCACGGTTGGGAGCAAGGTACTGAGAAGGTGTCTGCAGGGAAGGGGAGCAGAGGCAGGGCCAGGCGGGGAGCCAGGCACTCGGAGGACCCACCACCCAGGCCTGGGCCCCTTCAAATCTAACGTACACACAGATGCGGGAAGGTCATCCTCAGCATACCACACCCTCCAAGGCAGCACATACCTAAGCAAACCACACTTTTGCAATCAATAACTTGATTGACTAAGTTCTCTGCTATTCGAGAGTGTTGGACAGAGCAGTGTTCCATCCAGAACAGTAGGACATGCTAAAGAATACAGCTGTGGAGTGAACATTTTCATATCATATGTTTATGCATGAGGTTAACTTTTCTTCTTACTGAGTAACTTACCAAGGTTGGACTTCTTTCTACCTTGATCTAGGCAGTCAGTTATTTCAGAGCAACGTTTGATCTCTGGCCTTGTTTCTAGTTCCGCAGCTCTCTCTACTTGCTCATGGAGACCCTCAACGCGACGACACCCCACTACGTCCGATGCATCAAGCCAAATGATGAGAAATTACCCTTTGAGTAAGTGCTGTTATGCAACAGAGAGGGAAACCGCTGGGGAAGCAGTTTCTGTTGCGATGTTCGAGAATTTGCTTATAATTGTCGTGAACTTCATCAGAACTCGGTTTCTGGGTCTTTTAATGATTCAAAACAACACGGTCCTGTAAATATAATGTTGGCACAACCCCTCTGGCTAAGCCACCTCATCTGCAGGGCTAAGCAAAGGGGCTAGATTTGAAAGAATAGCCTACAACTAAAGCTCATGCAACTGAGAAAGAAACTTTTACTTGATTATAGAAAGAATTTGTGAGAAGAAAGGCCACAGAGGATGAGACGATTTGTCCTCACACATGGCATGAGTCGTTAGGCTTGTTCTCAGGGTCCCCGTGGACGACACCTGAAACCCACAGCGTACGGTGTGGAGAGTCCCTCTCAGCTCACTAGAGCCAGAAGAGGTACCTACAGGGGATGAGCTGTCTATGGAGGTGGCAGATGTGTCTGTGGGTCACCAGAAAGGTCACACCTAAGCCAGAGGACCCCCTGTTGGGTGTTTTACAAAGGAAATTCAACCATCAAATGGGTGTTTAGTCCAGGTAAGCTTATAATTTCTTTCCACCTGGCTGTCATTCGATGCTCCACCCAAAGGCCATTTCCCGCCACCTCCATCGGGGTAACATGCTCCCTTCTCCATATCCCACTGCCGCCCTCTGGACTGTTTCACAGAGGTGCCATTTTCCCTGGACATTCCACAGACATTCATTAAGGATCTGCCGTGTGCCTGGTATGGGGGTTACAGGGTTGATCCTGCTGGCGAGGGGCTCACAGTCTAGGCTATACCTGCCTACGGGCGTGTTTAGCGACTGTGGTGCCTTAACACATTATCAAATCATCTTCTTTAAGGTTTGACTCCAAAAGAATTGTTCAGCAGCTGCGAGCCTGTGGTGTTTTAGAGACAATTCGCATTGGTGCACAGAGCTACCCTTCCAGGTACGTTGTCAGTCCTGGTTTTTGGGGAGAAAATGTCCAACTTCAGGGCTATACTAAGAACCAAGGGTGTGGCTGCTATGGTTTTTGTCACATACTTTTGGCTTGTGTAAGGTGCCCCCAAGATTTTTCCCACTGTGGGAAGGCCAGAAGAAGGTGAGAAATAGGCTATGTGGGGGACAGAGGCTGCCACCATCACCCTGTCACCCTATCGCAACTGCTGGTGAGGGTCTTGCTGCCTCCCCAGTATGCTGGGAAAGATCACTGAGGGGGAGGAAGAGGATGATTGCCGGGCAGAGTGTCAACAAAAACAGTCCAGGGAGCATACAGGTGTGCTCAGGTGGTGTTGGTGGGGCCCCGGGAAGGGGACCGAAGATCAGTGCCATCACTGCCAGGACAGACTCCACCCCACAACTACAGTGGCAGGTAAGGCAGCGGGGTCCCCAGACACACCTGGCTCAGGTCCCACCTTGATTTTCCAGGTGGACATACATCGAGTTCTATAGTCGCTACGGCATCCTCATGACCAAGCAGGAGCTCTCCCTCAGCGACAAAAAGGAGATATGCAAGGTGGCTTTGCACAGGCTCATTCAGGTCAGCCTCCCTCCCTCCTGGAACAGGGGCTCATTCCGAGAACCACATCTCTCAGGTGTGTTTCTGCACCTGTGCCTCTGAGTCGCGGGACCATAGCAGCATGGATGCCTGAGAAGAAAAGTGTGCCCCCAGCGTTTGCACGCTAGGGAGACCTGGGCAGGCACGCTCACTGGGGCACATGATCTCCTGACAGCAGGAGTCCCCTCTATGGACCCAGATGCGAGCCCTGGCCTCCCCCAGTGTCCTCCCGTCCCACTTTGTTCACCCGCAGTCCCATCCCTTCTCCCCTGGGCCTGGCTTATGGGACGTGGTCAGTGGAGCCGGTGGCCGAGCCAAGTGGGCTCCAGATGTGGTGCTCAGTGCGGATGGAGATTACCGCTGAAGCGATGAGCTGTGATGGAAAAGCGATGGGGAGTTGTGATGTCCAGCAAAGGAGATGGCAAGAGAACCCAAAATGAAGACAGAAAACCACACTTCCCAGGTTCTTCCACTCCTGTGTGGAAACCACGTGAGAGCAGCTGAAATTCTCCAGCTACCCGCTGAGACCCGCTGGGAGTACACACTCCCCTCCGATCCCCTGAAGATTCCTCCCCACAAGTTCCTTTCCTTCCTCCAAGGTGGCTTTAAATAAGCAACTCAAAGTATACATTTCTAGATCATGAACAGAGATTTTCTGCTTTATGTCAAAAGATATGTCAAAATAATGTTTTTGGCATCTTTGAGTCTTCGAAAGTCTTTTCCAAATACTATGGAAAATCTGAAAGGTTTTAATGCTGATTGTATTGTTTTTCTCTTCCAGGATTCTAATCAGTACCAGTTTGGTAAAACCAAAATTTTCTTCAGAGCAGGACAAGTGGCTTATTTAGAGAAGCTCCGATTGGATAAACTGAGGCAGAGTTGTATTATGATACAGAAGCACATCCGTGGCTGGCTCCAGAGGAGAAAATTCCTCCGAGAGAGGCAAGCTGCCCTGACCATCCAGCAGTACTTCCGGGGTCAGCAAACCGTGAGGTGTGTTGGAATCGAGGAAACGTGTGATTTAGGCTTATCGCACTGAGCATCTCTGAGGGAGGACCTGTCAGGGACAAGGGACCTTTTCCTGCAACACGACATGTGTGTGACTCATGAGGCCATGAGCCCTGCTCACTCAGCCTGGAGGCCTACGTGGCAGAGCTGACTAGCAGGACCCCAAGGGAGGAAGCCTGACCGGGGTGTTGCTGTAGACGGCTGGAGTTCCCAGGGAAACCAGGGACAGCGTGGAGCCCCTTCCTGGGGGAACTGAAAATGCCTAAGACCAGCAGGGTCCTAGTGAAGACACCAGGGAAGACACGAAGAACAGCCACTGACAGCCTGCTGCAGTGGTGGGGCAGACCGTGACGGAGGGATCCGTGGCAAGGCCCTGCCAGCACAGCCGTCTCAGATCCCCGGGCAGGAAGACTGCATGGGTGGGAGGACCGTGGCAGCCCCGGCCGAGGGCAGGGCAGAGTTGAGGGCAGGTCACCAGCTACACCCATCCCACCCTCCTTGAGGGGTCCTGAAAGTCCACATGACCCTGTGGCTTCAGCCTGCCGGTTGGAGAGCGTGGGACCTGGGTGTCCCACGAGGCCATGCTGGGCTGGCCAGTGAGGTGGGCATCCTTCCCAGATGTGCGATTCTATATGTCTGCCCTGCCTCCTTCCTCAGGATGCTGTGAGGACAGTTGAGAAGGCAGGTGTTTAAGGGTCAGGCTGCGTCTCTGAGCCTGGCTTTTTCCCGAGTTGAGGCCCGAGCTCTAACAGCGTGGGCTTCCCCATGTGGCTGGCGCTGCCACCACACACAGCCAGGCTGGCCCACCCTCCTGCGCTCTGGGTTCAGTTAATACAGTCTCAGGGCAGGAAACCACAGAGTTGTCTTGTCCCAACCCCCTGCTCCCTTTGCATTTGGGACCCAGCGAGGCCTGGTCATTCTGACCCTGCTTCCTTCTCATCTGCTCTTTCATTCCATCCACTCCTGCCTGGTTAGGCCCATGTCATCGCCTGCCCTAGGCTCTGACGGCACAGGGCTCCACCTGCCGCCTCTGTCCCCTCTTCCAACGTCAGGGCCTGACTGAGCCATGGCCCTGCTCTGCCTTCAGTTGCTCTCCAGGCCCCATTTCCTGCAGAGCAGATTCAGTCTCTGAGGTGGTCAAGGCCCTCCGTGGCCTGGGCACACTCACGAGAATGGAAACTCCGTGAGGGCAGGGACCGTGTTGTCTGTTCCCCATTGTGTCCAAACCTGGACCTAGCAAGGGGGCTGTCACATAATGCCTGCTCAAGAAATATATTTTTTTAAATAACAAATGGTCCCCATCTATTTTTCCAACCTCAGTGACTACTAATTTTCTTCCACGCATCCTGTATTCTGGTGATTCCAGGCAAATTCCCCCTCCTTGACTGCCTTGGGCCCCAGTGCCTTCACTCCTGCTGGCCCTCAGCCTGCAATGCCTTCTCCAGCCTTCCCGGCGGACGGAAACCCTCCTTCCCAGCAAGGCTGGCTCATTCGTCAGCTCTTCCCAGGCGGAAGGACTGTTCTTTTCCCTGCACTCTCACTTACAGATCTCGTCAGTAGTTATTTTATTCTTCCTCTTTCTTGGTCATTTATAAGTCCGTCCGCTGCAGGAGATCATGAACTCCGAAGGCAAGAACGTGGTCTTCACCTCTAGTCTTTTAGACAGGGGTTGGCAAACTTCTTCCATAAAGAGCCAGATAATAACTATTCGAGGATTGGGGGGCCTTAAGTCTCCGTCGTAGCTATCCAATTCTGCGCTGTAGCGTGAAAGCTACAACAGGACGGCTGTGTTCAGTAAAACTTGGTGATAACAGGTGGTGGCCAGACTTGGCCCTCGGGCCATTTTTTTCCAACCCCTAGCCGAGAGCCTCCAACGTGATTTCTTACTGCGCGATGAGTGAGCTAGTGCAAGGCCACGCACAGTCCCGTCGTCACGGTCTCTCTGGGTGCGTGAGTGGACATGGATCAATCAGCCAGAGTAGAAAGAGTGTGAAAGTTCCCACGTTATTCATCAGGGCCCGGAACGGATTCACATTCAGAGCAGGGTAGAGAGGAGAGGTAACCAGGTGCCGAGCAGGCATTAGAATGAACCACTTACAAAACATTAGAGCCCCATTCCTTACTAGACAGGTGCTACCCAAGCTTGCAGTCCTGTGATGGAAGTCGATGCTCTGTGGATAACACATCCAACCTTCATTCTTTTTAACAAGGAAAGCTATTACTGCAACGGCCTTAAAGGAAGCGTGGGCAGCCATAGTCATCCAGAAGCACTGCCGCGGGTATCTCATGCGCAACCTGTACCGGCTGATCCGCATGGCCACCGTCACCATCCAGGCCCACACCCGCGGATTCCTGGCGAGGAGGGCCTATCGAAAGGTACCGCACACCTCTCCGTGGGGGGACGGAGGGATGGGCCTGCCTCACTGAGAACCAAACAGGGCCCAGGAAAGACTCCACCATAGGAAACCCCAGTGCTCTATACAAAGTACCAGCCAAGCCAGAAAGGTGATTCCCAGCAGAGTTAGCCCAAAAAACCCAAACACGTGCTGTTTAGGTTTGTAGCTTTCAATTATCTTTGGGCAACTTTATTTTTATTTTTTTCGTCCATAGTGACCCAATTAATCTGAGATCAAATTTTTGTCCCACTCTACCCCCTTCCCAGCTGCTCGCAGAACCGATCATGTGCCCTTTATGTCAAGGTGACCACTTAATTGCTGTCCTGCCTCCTTGAAAAAAGAGCAAATTATGCTTTTGTCGCTGGCTTAGCCATATGGAGCACATCATCACCCCTTTCTGGGTCTGGAGCTGTTGTCTCCGAAAGTGCCGTCTCGTGCTTTGTATCCAGCAGTGCTGGAGAAGTCCTGCGTGGGTTATGTACAACACTTTTTCACTTTTATATTAGTTTGAAATTTTGCTTCTTTGGGTTTGGCGTGGCCAGCCCATCTGGCTGTGAGCCCGTCTGGCTGTGAGAGCTCTCTACGGTCTGTGGCCTGGCAGTGTGCTGATCTTTTAAAGTTTCTTTTCCTGCTCAATCCCTACTTTTTGGTGAAGTTTCTGTTAGGTCTGTTGGACGTACAACCAACCTATGGCGTATTGGCTTAAATGGTGCTTTCCTTTGGTGTGGTCTCTCTGGGGCTGATTGGGAGAAAGAGAAACCAACAGTGTAGCTATTTTAATACTAGTATTGATAAGTGTCTTTTTAAAATAAAGAACTAGTTCCTCCAAAAAAAAAAAAAAAGGAAAGAAAAGAGAAAGACAGGTACAGCAAAAGCACAAAAAAATGTGCTTTCTAAAGACATGGGTTTCTCAGGACTCATGCTATTTTTCACCCACAATATTGAGATTATTTTTCTTCATAAAACCTTCTTGGAGAGCATGGGGTTCTGGTATGAGAGTGTCTGTTTGTACATGCCTCCTATAGGTAGGATTTGGTTATTGTTTCCAAAGTCCAGGTGTACTAGGGCTCTGTGGGTTGATGACAAGAAATTCATATTTTATACTGTGATAGTTGCGTCTTCCAACATTGGAGGAATTGGTGAGAGAAACAGCTGAGATCCAGTTTACATTTCTGTGTAACAGAAACAAGATTTTTAAAACAAAGTGTTATTTTAAAGATGCTAGAGGAACACAAAGCTGTGATCCTTCAGAAATACGCACGGGCATGGCTGGCCAGACGAAGATTTCAGAATATCCGACGATTTGTGCTCAACATTCAGCTTACTTACAGGGTCCAGCGTTTGCAGAAAAAGCTGGAAGATCAGGTCAGTGTTCACAATTCATCTTTTATATCTACTTTTTCTAACATGGATTTATTTTGTTCTGGATCAGTTCCTTAGCTATGCAGTAAAGACTTATGCCTATGTTCAAACACGGAGATTCAATTTACAATTTACATTAACTACCTGAGCTAGAAACAGAAATGTACTGTAAAGGGTTGCTGCAGGTGGTTGTATAGGTTGTACACTGCACAAATGCACCTGCCTAAGAAGACAAGTGATCTTGAAATCCAGCCTGGCTCCCCATGCCGAGACACACATGCCTGTGTGCAGCTGTGCTGCCTTGAGGCATCCCTTTTTCTGATTTGCTCAAAGACACCGTGTGTGCCAAGCAAGGTCCCTCAGGAAATCAGCTCAGAGAAACTGCCGTTTTCTCATTTGCCCATAGGTGCCACAGGGTATAGTTGAAGATTCCCCATGCCATTCCCACTGTTAGGAAAACAAATTTCCATGTGCTCTCAGCCAGGCGGGGAGGGCTGTGGAACATGCAGTGTCCAGATCTATAAAAGTCACTCCTGGGCCTGTCTCAAATAATAATGACATTCTGTTAAGGCGAATTTTAAACTTAGCCCTAAGCTATACCATAGAGGTCCTTAATGAATAGATGAAGATGTGAACAAATAACCTTGAGGTTTCGTGGCAGTTTCCTGTCATTAGCTGTTGTGTAACAGGTCTGCGTGTTATACAGCTCGTGCACAACAGCACTTAGAAAGGGCCATGGCCCACCGGGAGCAATGCCTGGTGGAGTCCCGACACTGCCCGAGCTCCGTCCTGGGTGCATTAGTCTGCTAGGGCTGCCGCAAAAATGTCCGACAGGCTGGGTGGCATAAACAACAGAAATTTCTTGTTCTCCACGGTTCTGGAGGCTGGAAGTCCCAAACCAAGGTATTGGCGGGGTTGGTTTCTTCTGAGGCCTCTGTCTTTGGCCTGTAGCTGGCCATCTTATCTTTGTGTCTTCACATGGGCTTCCCTCTGTGCCTCATCTCCTCTTCATAAGGACACCAATCATATGGGATTAAGGCTCTCCCTAACGGCCTCATTTTACCTTAGCTGCCTCTTTAGAGGCCCCGAAGAGGGACAGGAGTGAGGACTTCAACACAGGAATTCCGGGTGGACGCAATTCAGCCCATAACACCAGGGCTGTCCCGGAGCTCTGGAATAGAACAGGTCCGACACGGAAGAGCCACCAGCTCGGGAAGACAATTACTTGACAAGACCTGCTGCACGAATGTCACTGTGGTGAAGATGCTCATAAATGCCAGCACCATGATACACACGGTCAATGTAAACAAACGGCCCATAGATGCCGTGTTAAAGGTTGTGAGAAGTAAATCACAACGAGAAACCTCTGACTGTCTGGATTTTCTTTTCTCTAGAACAAAGAGAACCACGGGCTGGTGGAGAAGCTGACCAGCCTGGCTGCTCTTCATGCCGGTGACGTGGAAAAGATTCAGAAGCTGGAGGCAGAGCTGGAAAGAGCAGCCACCCACAGGCAGAATTACGAGGAGAAGGGGAGGCGATACCGGGGTGCTATGGAAGAGGTCAGCCGTTGGCTCGCGAATGCGGACATGCACGCGACTCCTTCCCTGGAAGAGATGGGCATTGCGAGCTTTCCCCGTGCACGGATTTGTGCAGAGCAAAGCGGATTTTGCTGTCGACCTCCGTGCCCAAAGGGAGCCTGGCTTATAGGGGAAGGGAGTTGGGAGGACTGGAGCCCAGGGGAGGAACAGGAGGTGAATGCTCAGAGAAGTGCAACATAGGTTTTCTCTTTCTTTCAACTTTTGCAAAGTGATGAAAGGCCCAAGAAGGAGCCCTGGCTGGCTGCTTCCCTCTCTTCTAGGATGACCTTGGTCCCCTGTCACTTGTCCACCAAGCTTGTGCCCTGCAAACATCTTCCTTGCACGGAGATACAGAGCTTAGGGAAGGTTTTCATCTCTGTGGTATGGTGAAAAGAGCAGTAGGTGTGCAAACCCGACATCCCAGACTCCAAACGTGTCTTTGCTGCTGTCTGGCGGGGCAGCCTTGGCCAAGTCACTTACCCTCTCTGAACTTTAGTTTCCTTGTATGTAAGATGGGAATAAAAAGGGACTGACAGAGTTGTCATGAGGGTAAAATTGTCAGGTGAAGTAACTTAAATGACCGTCACAAGGCCAGCAAAGCATGAGCTAGCATGTTCGAAGGAGGTGTCTTTTTTACCATCCACACTCCTGCACTTTCCAAAGTCCCAGCACCGCCGTGCCCTGGTGCTCGGGTGCACCAACACTGCTGCCGCGGCCATTACCGACACTGCCAGTCACCCGCCGTCAGCACCATGGGGCCCCCACTGCCAGCCCAGCAGGCACTTCACCAAGAGAAACTGAGATCATAGAAATTCTGTCGTGCTCACACCCCCTTCCTGCGCCATCACGGTCTCAGAGCGGGTGCTTCATAGCATAAGTAATTATAGCATGTTAAGCATAAAATAAATTCCCCTGGCTACGGAGAAGCTCAAGTAAAGGATAGAGGCCTTTCCTTGACCTTGAGGAGAGCCTGGATTTGGTTCCAGCCATCCTGGGCGGGTTGGGATAGCGTCTGCTTTGAAGTCACATTGGCCCTGCATGTGGAGCTCATCACAGCGTCTTGCACTGGTGCTGGCTGGCGTCTGTGAACAGGAGCTGAGGGGGGAAAAAACCCTAATTTAAAATATACTGCTTTTCGCCAACAGAGGCAATGGCGACAAACTTGAAAGGAGGTTTTCACAAAAGTTGTTTTTCCTCCCTTCCCTTTGCTAGAAATTGGCAAAGCTTCAGAAGCACAATTCAGAACTGGAAGCACAGAAAGAGCAAACACAGCTGAAGCTTCAGCAGAAGACCAAAGAGCTGAAAGGTAGAGCTTGAGCTGGCTGGGAAGCCTGGACGTTCGCTGCTTAGCCGTTCGGTACACAGTATTGGAGAGACCGGTCTTAGAATCGGGATCTCCCGTGTATACTTGGTGTGGTGAGAAAGTATTTGCCCTGCAGGGAGTAACTATTTTAAATGGGGTGACTTTACCCTACGGATTCGTCTGTTTTGTTTCCATCTTTTGTCAAACAGCACAGCAATCCCTGTCTGTGCTGCAGAACCTCCTGGGCCCCTTGCAAAGTGCAAATAGCTGCGCTGTGAGCCCGGAGCTTTTGCATCAGGAAGAGACAGAGAGAGAGAGAGAGAGAGAGAGAGAGAGAGAGAGAGAGTGTGTGTGTGTGGTGTGTCTGGGTGTCGGTGTGGTAGGGGAGATACAGGCATCTGCATTTTTCAAAATCTTTGTGTCGGTCCTGATGCACAGTCAGGGTAATGCTGCAGTAATGTGTGTTGCTTGCCAAGGATTTGCAGAAAAATCTCAGATCTGTCAGTTACTTAGTCTAAGTGGCGCTTGTGTCCTCTGCCGCTCTCCCGCCCCGAATGAAGGGCAGACCCTAGAACCAGTGGGTCTCACTTTCCTTCAGGGGTGTGGAGCGGCTGCCTCGGCCTGGCTCTATCCTCAGCCTCGCTCGATTCCAGCTCAGGTTTGGATTGAGAACACTGGCCAAATCCCAGAAATGGCAACAGGAACACGAGCCTGGTGACTAGATAGTTTACGTCACCACGCTCCACGATCATGTCTGGGCATCTTTTTCCTTGAGCTGCGACGTGGGGACAGCAGGGGCATCAGGGTTCAGGCCTGGGATCTCCCACACACGAGGCCCAGCAGGTGGCAGATATGACAGGACCTGGAGGGGCACAGGGCCCTGGGCGTTGAGGGCAGAGTGAGAAGCACGTGTTGGTGACAAGTCCAGGCTGGCGGGGCAGGAAGGCCATCCAGGTGCCGACACGCAGCAGGGCATGTCCTCCCCGTCTCTGTGGGACTGATGGTGTGGGCATCGGAGCCCGGTAAATGTCAGCGATGAGCAGAAGGAGGTCGGGGGTCTGGGAGTACACCTCGAACCTGAGTGAGGGAAGGGCTCCCCCACCTCCACCCTTTTTATTACAATACACATCTCTTCGGTGGTGGTTTTGGGTGTTTTTTCCCTTAACTTCTTTAAGTGGAATTTCCCAGAAATGTAACCCGAAAATTATATATTTGACACCATTGATGTGTTGGGATAGGTAATTTTACATCCATTCTAAAAAGTCCGTGAAAACTTTCAAACCCAGCACTTAACAAACGGCTTATCCTGTGGGTCTCGCCCCCACATGGCAAACAGCATTTTATGAACAGCACCGTCCTTTTCCTGTCCTCACGGCCTGTGACCCAGGAATGTTATCAAATGGCATTTCCACCTTTTGAGATTAATGTGAACATAATCCCGTTGCTTTTGGGAAGAAAGTCACATTCAGAGCAGCTTCTTTAGGCCATTTGCAAATGGCGCAAGATGATAAGAATTGAAGCCAATACTTTCAGTTAATTGAAAATTGAAGTTCTATCAAATATGCTGGTTTCTAAATTAAAGCTTAAGCATTTTCCCCAGTATTTTATGGCTGCCTTTCAACATTCAGCAGTCGTTTTGATTCAGGAACATTTGGCCCAGCATTAGACAAACTATTATCAAACTGTTGGCTTTCTTTTTATAAAAAAAAAACAAGTAATTTGGAGAATTGCTTATTGACAGCTCACCCTCGGCCCCCTTCTGGAGTCGGGCTCAGAGGTGAGGTAGAACTCAAGGATGAGACATCAGCTACGTGCAAATGGGGACATCACGGTTTGAGGGTCTGCATCACCCGTCTGCCATTTGGATGGGCCCCTGTGGTGCATGTGCACGTTGGGAATATGGGTTTGTCATAGCCGTGGACTATCCTGAGCCCTAATGGTCACTTCCTGGTTGCCAGGTACCCCATTGACCTGCAGACTTCGTGTTTGGAACTCTTGTATTTAAGCTGCTTTTTTTTGGCTTCCCCAGATGATGACCGAGATTTTATTGTTTTCTTGATTATTCACAGATGTGTGGTTCTCAACTGGGGTGGTTTTGCCTGCCCCCCCTTCCCCCGGGACATTTGGCAATGTCTAGGGACATTTTTGGTTGTCAAAGCTGGAGCAGAGGTGCTACTGGCTTCCAGAGGGTAGAAGCCAGGAAGCTGCTCAAAACCCTGCAATGCACAGGGCAGCCCCCTCTCCACCACAAAGAACTATCCAGCCCAAAGTGCCCATGGCGCCAAGATCGAGAAGCCCTGTCATAAATTGATCATTTTCTTCCCAAATGTTTTCTCTTTAATAGTTATTGTCTCAAAGCCAATATATCTATTTTAATAAAACAAATGGCATTCAGACTAATAAAAGTACTATAAATGAAACTGTTTGTTCATAGGTTCTAACATGACAAATTTGTGAGAATTGTTATTTTGAAATCCTTTCATCTATATTTCTAGTTTATAAAAAATGACATACACTCTCACCGTTAAGTCCTGTTAGTAATAAATAAACCATGATTGTCCGTCTTCTCACTTTCTTAGTTGACATGAAACACTCAGGGCACTGGTTTGGCAGGTGTATTTCAAAGAGCATTCTCTTTTCACAGAAAAAATGGACGACCTCACCAAGCAGCTCTTTGATGATGTGCAAAAGGAAGAACGACAAAGAATGTATGAAATCTAGTTCGCCTTAAAGCTACCTCTTCCTTCTCTCTCTGCTGTTTTATATTTTGCTTCTCAGCTTGCGGATTGCAGCTCACAGATACAGGAGAGCGGGTGTGAATATTTTTAAGTGAGAAGCTTTGAGATCGTGCGTGCCAAGTCCCAAGCATGCACTCTCAGACACCGCGCGGGTTCTGCAGCTGTCCGCAGTGCTGCTGCTGTGTGGCACGGTCCGGTCACCAGGAGTTCCTTACTTTATTTTATTTATTTTTACTTTCTTTTTATTGTTAAGACAGTGAGAAATTCAGACTACCACCCCCTTCAACTTCCATCAAGTCCAGGAATTAAGATTATTGCCTAGGAAATAAGTCTCCCTCCCTTCCCCCACCTGTTGTACCTGTTAGCTTGACTTTTGTCCCAGAAGATAAGGTGTGTAACCCACCTCACAGAAAATTAAGGCAGGTCCCCATGACCTTGTACCTTTCCTATCTCAACATCAAACCCTTTGCTAGTCTCTAAAGATTCCAGTCAGGGCTCCTCTTTTATTAAGAAGTCAACCCAAAGGTTTTTAGATCTCAAAGTCAGGATGCATGGCGAGGTGGTGGGGAGAGATGGAATATTCTAGGCATGTCTCTTTAGGGGACTTGAAGGCTCAGGGCTGCCGGGGCAGTAGGGTACACCACCTACCTGTGGAGTTAGCAGCAGAACCTGGGTCTGGGTGAGGATTCCAAAGAGTTAGGGGAAAGAATATCACTGGAAAACTCCAAGAGTTGACAAATGTATAAAATGTTTCATGATCCCACATCAGTTTTTATATATGTCTAATTAACTCATTTACTAGAAAAATATAATTTTCAGTGAACTCTTAACTCCAGGAGAGGAGCTCAGCTCTTGGCATCTCTCCCTGTGCTCGGGCCACTTGGGGGTGATCATTTCAAACAGGGGCTTGGAGAGCCAGGCTGAAGCCAGGTCTCTTTGAGCCCTTTGCAGTCCTAACTGGGTCAGGGCTGGGCAGGCCGATGAAGGGAGTGAAACTCTTCACCCTCTGTAAGCCTTTAGACTGTGTCCTCATTAGCTCCCACCTGTAGCTCCGTCTGGTCCCTGGCCAGCCAACTGGGGCAATCCTGGCCCCTGTCACAACCCTCGAGAGGCACCAATATGCCTCCTGTCTATGGGCGCACCCCTGGCCAGTTCAGGCTGCAGGGCTAAGATCCCTTTAACATAAGACTTTCAGTTGCAAATTTCTCCTCCAAAGATATTTTACCAGATTCTTGGGAGCATTGCAGTTTTTTGAAAAACCTGAAAACAAAATTCAAAAGTTTGTTAATATCTATAAAAAGAAATTAACCAAATTTATCGGGAATGTGACTCTCTTCCTGGGAGTTTTTCTCTTTGTGCTATAAAAGCAAGTCATAAAATGAACTGAGTTGACGGCCCAGCAAGTAGAATGATTTAATATACTCCTCAAGTTCCTGGGACTGCTTCAGTTCTGGCTGTGCTGGGCTTGAACAGGTGGTGGCTCTCTCTTCGGTTATTTCCTTGGTTAAGTGTCACATATTTAATTGAGTGACCCTCTCACAGGGAATTGGGTTTTCATGGACTTTTGGGCACCTGGACTTGCTGTAGTTTATCCTAGAATTTTTGAAGGACTGGATCCCTGGACATATTGGATGGCTCTATTAACTTCGTTAGGACCAAACCAAGCCCCTGCAGGATCCTTGAAACTGGGAAGTGGCCAGGACTTGGCAGAACATGCCAAGGTCTTCGCTGAAGGAAATTGGCCCCTCCAGGAGGCTGCATGGAACTCAGGGTGGCCTTGGGAATACAGCGCCCCAACAACCAGTGTGCCTTTAAAGTTCAGCCTCCCTATCCCGTGGTGCCTGCGCACAATCACCTTCTCAATCAGAAGGTGTCAGAAATTGCTTTTAACCTAAGGGAACAGGAAACAGACTGCTAAAAATAAGGCCATTGTCTACCGGAACTGTCACAGTGGGTCCTGATTACTTTGTCCCTTCCTCTCCAGAGTCTCCTCTCTTCCCTTTCAAAATGACGTATTATTCTAATTCAAAAACTGTAGAGACCATCCTAAATTAATTATTTTTGTCTTTTGCTGCCTAGACTTCTTGAAAAAAGTTTTGAACTGAAAACACAAGACTACGAGAAGCAGATCCAGTCTTTGAAAGAAGAAATTAAAGCTCTCAAGGATGAGAAAACGCAACTCCAGCATCAGGTGGAGGAGGAGCACATCACCTCTGCCGGCTTGAAGGGGGAAGTGGCCCGACTGAGCCAGCAGGCCAAGGTAGAGCCACCTGTCACCGTGCACCCTGCCCTCTGGTCAGGTCAATGACTTGCACAGAGAGAGCAGTTCTGTGTCCCGTGGGATCAGACAGCTAAAGGCAAAGGGAGCCTGATCCTTCAGTTCTTCCAAGTATGAACTCCAGGCTGCCTTTGATTTAGCAATAATTATATTTCATATTTTAAAAGTCAGCTTTCTAATTTTTTTGAAATTGCATTTATGTAAAGTTATTTAAATATGTCACCCTAAAGAATACTTCCAAATTAAATTAGAAATTGAGGTGAACCCTTATTATGGAGTCCATCATGTTACAAATCTATAGATACCTGGATTTAAATTAAATTACTTTATTATCTGAATCTTCCATTTAGACTATCAGAAAATTTATAAAAGCAATGATCCATTGCACAGCATGGTGAATATAGTTAATAATAGCGTACATTTCAAATAGTACATTTCAATAATACATTTCAAAATTACTAAGAGAATACATTTTAAATTTTCTCACCATACAAAATGACAAG